GGGCAGAGGAACGAGAGAAGAATATAGAGTGGATAAAGCGCCTGTTCACGGCATGGAGGGTAAGCCACGCCGAACGCAAGGAAGCCGGGGAAGACGACCCCGAGGAGGACGAAACAAAAGTGGAAATCCCGCCGTCAGCTGTCACAATATACCCGAAGGGAACCCCAGTGCCAACACCGACCATTGAGGTACAAGTGCTCGAAACGAGAGTGGACCTGAGCAACGACATGACAGGGCGGGATATGCTCGCAGTGGGAGTCAGAAATGTGGTCCTTGCGCGAGGAATGCTCGATAAACTCGAGGGACCAAAATACGCGGAGAGGAGAGCGGAGTTACGCAGAAAGGCGAGAGAAGCAGCGAGAGCAAGAGATCGGCAGACGACAGCGGCGTCTCAGAACGAGGCCGAGGAGAGCGATGAGTCAGGGGAAGAGACAGCAGGAGAGAGAACGACGAGAGTGAGAAGAATGCGAGGTGGCATGAAGGTCGCTGCAAGAATTGGTGATAAACTGCGGAGAGAGATAGGAAGTGGTAGACGCCCGAGGGTGGGCGACGGCTAACACCACACTTCTCCCCTAAAATCCCTGTGTGGTGGCGGCGTACCGTCCTCCCATCCCTCCCTTGGGTTGCCTGTTTTCTTTCTTTCTTTCTTTATCTGACGCCGAGATGCGAGAGGCCTAAAAACGTGTTTTGACCGCGTAAGATATGAAGGTAAGGGCTCTGCCCGCAAGGCGCCCGTGTCGCAGACGCGGTACCATTGACAAATCTGCAATAGACCCCACAGGAACTAAAAATTTCTCCGCAAAAAATTCTTCCGGGCTGGCGCTGCACGCTCACGCCTGGCATCCTCGAAGGCGCGCCTCGCCGCCCGCCGCAAACAGGGCTGCGCCATGACGGCGATGGTTGACGACGAGACGCTCGACTTCAGCACGTCGGACGACGTGCAGATCGTCGAGTCCTTCGATGCCATGGGGCTCAAGGACGAGCTGCTCCGCGGCATCTACGCGTACGGTAGCCGCCCCCGGCGCGGGCGGGTGCCGACGGCGGTGTGGGGCTGACGGGCGGCCCGCCCCGCGCGCAGGCTTTGAGAAGCCGTCCGCCATCCAGCAGCGCGCCATCATGCCCATCCTCAAGGGCCGCGACACCATCGCGCAGGCGCAGTCGGGCACCGGCAAGACGACCATCTTTTCGGCGCGGCGGCCGCGCGCGGCATGCGACCACGGAGGACGCGCGGCATGACGGGCGTGCCTGCCGCTAGGTGGGCGTGCTGCACTGCATCGACACCTCGCAGCGCGAGACGCAGGCGCTCGCGCTCTCCCCGACGCGCGAGCTGGCAGAGCAGACGCAAAAGGCTCGCCCCGCCGCCGCCTCGCCCTGCCCCGCCCCCCTGCTGCCGCTTCCCATCCACGCCGCCGCGCCCCGTCCACCTGCCAGCACGCCGCGACTGCCTGTCTGTCCACGTCCCGTCCACGACACGTCCACCCCCGCCCACCACCCGCCCATGACGCTGCGGCCCTGCATGACGCTGCGGCCCTGTAGGTGATGCTCGCGCT